ACCACACCCTTAACGAAAAACCCCCCCCCCCCCCAAAAAAAAAAAAAAAAAAAACCAAAAACCTGTCTGAGCTTTTTCATTTTTCTCTTTTTTATGATGAGATATTAGGTAATAAAAAACGCACTGGAAAAAATACATGGAAAGCACATTTTATATAGACAATAGTAAAAATGCCTGCCTTGATGTCATCCCATTAGTATTATTTCATTGTTTGTTTGTTTATTTTTAAGTCTATTTATTTTATTCATGAAAGAGAGCACCTGAGTGCACATGACAGAGAGGAAGAGAGAGGGAATCACTCTCTGCAGGGTGTAGTCACTCTGCGATCATCTTTCTCCAGTCCACAATCTCACCAGAACCTCGGGCACATACGTGCACACACCCCATGCACACACCCCACGTACTTTCAGGCCAACCCAAGGATTCCAGATTGTGGCTGGCCATGCGGCTTCCAGTACTACAGTTCAGTTTGCTACTCACGTATCCACAAGGGTGGGCCTATTATTTCATTTGTTTATTTTGTGACACTTACGGCTGATCATGGTAAAGATCAACCCTTTCCTTGTCAATTTAAAAAGGATCCTCTCAAAACCTAGCTTCTTTGGGGTGATTATTCTTTTCAGGGTGCTGCCCTTATTTCTTGTTTCTTTTATTCCCTCCATATGATGTATTTTTTCCCCCTTTGGGTTTTTGCCATAGGGCACATGCAGTCATTGAAGAGAGACAGAGGGACAGTGAGAAATTGCCCTCTGGGGGAGATAGCCATGTTGTAATCCTGTCTCTTCCTTTCTCCTCCTGGGATTTTGGGTGCACACACATGTCCAGCATGATTTTTCAAGCAGCCAGGTCTGAGACTTGAACTGCAGTCAGTCATGTGGGAGTCTAGCACCTTAACCACCACATTACCTGCTGTTCCCGCCTCATATGATGTATGTTTTACCTAACACTTCCAAAAATTTCTCTAAAATTTTACTTTCATTCTGTGTCAATTCTCTAGTGCTACAAGTTTCCTCTAAAGTAGTGATTAAATTCAGACAAGCAACAAAATAGTCTCTCTTGTTAAAGGCTTAAAGGTAAGTCTTAAAGACTAAAAAAGACCAAAAAAAAAAAAACAATAAATCATTTTATTTCCTACAGAAATCCTTCTGTTTTTATATTCCTTCATTTTGATATCTCTGAAAGGTAATTTCTTTTTTTTTTTTTTGGAGATATTTTTGCTATAGGACGTGCATGCTCATGAGAGAAACAGAGACACAGAAAGTGAGAAATCACCCCCTGGGAGGATGGCTATGCAGCAATTCCTTCTCTCTCATTCTCCTCTCAGGATCCTGGACATGCATACACACACAAACCCAGCATGAGTTTCAAGCCGCCAGGTGCAGGATTCAAATCACAGTCAACTATGTGGCAGTCCAGCAACATAACAGCTATGCCATCAGCTGGTCCCAAAATGTAGTTCTTAATTTATATTCAATCAGATAATTTATTACCTGAAGAGCTACTTTAT